AGTCGGCGTCCACCGCGCGCACCTTGGCCACCACGTGGCCCGCGCCCACCGACCGCGACAGCAGCTCGCTGGCCGCGCCGCCGCCGGGGGCCCCCGCCCGAGGCGCCAGCAGCGCCGGCGCGTTGTCGTTCTCGTCCAGCACGAACACCTGCAGCGTCACGTTGCTGCCCAGGGGCGGCACGCCCGCGTCGCGCGCGCTCACCTGGAACCGCAGCAGCTGCAGCTCCTCGTGGTCCAGCGGCTGCAGCGCGAACACCTCGCCGCTCTCCGCGCGCACCGACACGTAGCTCGACAGCGCGCGCGCGCCCACCCGCCGCTCCACCAGCGCGTACGACACCCGCGCGTTCTCCCGCGCGTCCGCGTCCCGCGCCGACACCGTGAAGACGTGGCAGCCCGGCGGGTTGTTCTCCTTCACGAACACCGTGTACTCGGGCTGCGCGAAGGCGGGCGCGTTGTCGTTCACGTCGGCCACCTCCACCGCCACGCTGGCCGTGGCCCACCGCGAGGGCGAGCCCCCGTCGCGCGCGGTCACCACCAGCTGGTAGGCCGACACGCTCTCGCGGTCCAGGGCGCCGTCCAGCACCAACGAGTAGTAATTCTTGAAGGTGGGCGCCAGCTTGAAGGGGACGTGGGGCGTCAGGGAGCAGGTGACCTGTCCGTTGGCGCCGGAGTCTTGGTCTGACACGCTGATCAGGGCGATGACCGTGCCCACTTGAGCATCTTCTTTCACTGGGTTAGACAGAGAAGTGACCATTACCTCAGGGACATTGTCGTTCAAGTCCAGAACTTCCAACAGGAGCATGCTGTGACCTGACATAGGAGGAATCCCTTTATCAATGGCGTTAACCTGAATTTCATAGGCATTATTCTCTTCAAAATCCAGTTTCCCATAAATTCTAATTTCACCTGTGTCTGGATTTATGAAAAACGTACATTTCTCACTCACTGGCGAAATCATTCTGATTCCATAGAAAATTTCCCCATTTAGTCCTTCGTCTAGGTCGGAAGCATTTAGTTGGATCACTCTGGTGTCGTTTGGGACATTTTCAGGCAACACTACTTTATACCCAGGCTTCTCAAACTCCGGAGCGTTGTCATTCACATCCAGGATGGTTATTTGAATCTGAACGGACCCTGTTAGCTCTGGTTTACCGCCGTCGATAACCATCAGCAATAACTCTAGTTGTGGCGTTTCCTCTCTATCCAATAACTTCCGGAGAACTAGTTCAGGCAATATACTTTTATCTTTTTTTGCTATTATTTCAAATGCAAAATGCTCGTTCAGACTTAACACGTAGGTAAGAAGAGAGTTTGCGCCGATATCCGCATCGGAAGCGCCCTCTAGAGGAAAATGAGAGTCCAGAGGCGCAGATTCAGAAATAAGAACCTTTTGTTCTCTTTCCCTGAACACCGGCGGGTTGTCGTTAATGTCCCTCACCTCCACCTCCACGTGGAAAACCTGCAGCGGCCGCTCCACGATCACCTCCAGGTGGATGCCGCACTCCAGGCTCCGCCCGCACAGCTCCTCGCGGTCGATCCGAGAATTCACAAACAAAATGCCGTTCTGCAGATTCACCTCCAGAAGGTCCCCGCGGCCCTTGCACGCCACCCGGAACAGGCGCGGCACCAGCTGGGCCAGCTCCAGCCCCAGGTCCTGCGCGATGCGGCCCACGAAGGTGCCGTGCTTGGCCTCCTCGGGGACCGAGTAGTGGAGCTGGCCGCTCCCCGCCTCCCAGGCTGCCAGAAGCAGAAGCGAGAGGAGCAGGCGCCAGGATCCCGGGCTTCCTCGCCAGATAATCACCATTGCAGATGATGAGGTCACCGAGTTGGGATTGTCGGTTTTAAGGAAGCGCTCGTGTGAGGTCTTTTATGAGCAATCAAGCTTTTCCGTAAGTACACATTTAGTACATTGTATCCATCATTACAGTCAATATGGAGTCGATCCTATTCTGTGAATGGTTGGAAAGCTGGTACGGAACAAATTTTTCTTTTTCACCTTTTGAGTGTACAGCGACATCATGTGACTAAAAATGTAAGTACAAGAAAGATCCTGAGGTTCTTCTTGGTTTAGCCACTTTCTGGGTCACTCTAAACTTGACTTTTGAATATTTTGACGGATCAATTGTAAATGCCTATTTAGTTAACATATGTAATAGCCTAACAATACACAAATACTTTTATTATACTGTAGTTTTAAAAAATATTTACTGCTTCAAAATCTATCATAAAATGATCTTTCAAATATGGTGTGCTGGAAACTGCACTTTATTAGAGTATAATATAAAGAATAGTATACATCACCCCCTTTCCTTATATAACTTAAAATTCACAATGTTCTAATAACTTTTATCCTTTACAAGCACTTCGTTGTAAAAATTTAGGAGAAAGCTAAGAATTTTGTTATTTAGTAGAGGAAAAGAAACCAAAATATGCCTATTAACCAAATAATATTTCATTTATATAAATTGTCTTATTCATAAATCTGATGAAGATTAGAATTCATCACAAATATAAAAGGCATCACTATTTTTGGTTCCTTTTATGCTTAAATGTGATAACTTTTCAAGCAAAATGTTGAGTTTGAAGCCTCCAAATTTCATAGTATCCTAAAGTGGCTATAGAGCACTAATATGAAAAAGATCTCTCTAAGTTTTGGAGTCTAATCTGTTTGGCTAAAGTCAAGAGAATATGAACTTAATACCAACCTTTTGGTTTCCCCTCTAGATTTCTCTCTACAGGTCATTTAGTTAGTAGTCATGACATGCTTCTCTTCTAAAAATCAGAGTGACTAAGATGGAAGAGGGAATCATAAGACCTTTCGTGGTTTTATTCATGATCAGCTTCAAGGGAAAACAAAGCACAGATACAATTTGACTACTCATTGTGAAGAAATAAATATAGATTTTATGAATTTATTAATATTCAAGTTAAACTCTTTAACCAAAAATGCACTGGCATTCATTTCTTTTACATATAGTGATGCAGAACACTGAGATGTGAAACCTTTACATAACCAGAAAACCAGATAATTTTTCTTTTCTTTAGAGGTAGGATCTTGCTACATTGCTTAGGCTGCTCCTGGCTCAAGTAAATCTTCTGCCTCTGACTTCTGAGTAGCTGGGATTATAAGTGTGAGCCACTGCACCCGTCAAGAAAGGACAGAACTTTTGTTATATTATTTCAATGAAAGCAGCATATTAGAATGCAAAGATTGGATATTTTTCTTCAAATTGCATGAAAAGAGATATTATCAAGGAAGGGGAAACTAAAGATTATTTAGTGATAATAAGATATAATGAATGTTCAACTCCATAGGAAAAAAAAAAGAGAAATAAATGATTTCAGATCTAATGAAGAGTGTTCTCGTTTTGAAACAAGCCTGAAGTTAGAAAAGCCTCTTTGTCTGGACACGGAGGCCAACAACTGCAGTCCCAGCTACTGGGGAGGCAGAAGCAGAAAAATATTTGAACCCAGAAGTTAGAGGATGTAGTGCACTATGATCTCACCTGTAAATAGCCACTGCACTCCAGACTTGTTAAAAGACAACAATAAAGAAATTTAAACAATCCATAGTGATTATAGTCATAAATGAGAACTAGGCACAAACTGGCACCAAGAGATCAGTAAAAACATAGCTATTATTTTTACCAACGTGATTACAGACCAATAGTCTGTAAATTCTACTTATTTTAGCATTTTCTAACAAAATATTAGGAGAAATAGAACGTTTATTGCCTAAACTAACAATTATTTATATGTTTAAAAGATTGCATATGTGTATTCTTCGGTATTTCACTAACAGACACTGCTCTTTAAAACAATACTTATATATATATTGCTCATTAAAATTTTTCTTTAAAATTTTCCATGAAGAAATTAGATTTCAAAAATTTATCATATTCTTCACCTGAATAGATGAAACCGGAGGGGGGGAAAAAAACACTCACCTGTCCAGAATGCTTTAAAACTGCCTCCTGCTTTTCCCCTTCGCCTTCTCTATTGGGACCGGGAGAAAGACTGGGGCTGAAGGCCATGAGGTCGGTCTTGGGCGGGCCCTCCCCAGAGCACACCCTCTGCCGCCTCGGCCGCGAGGACGACCAGCTCCCCGCCGCGCTGGAGCACACCAGCGGGGGCTTGCCCGGCCCGCACGCGCCCTCGGGGGGCGGCGCCGAGCACCGCAGCGCCGTGTACAGCAGCAGCGTCAGCACCAGCAGGCTGGACACCGCGCAGATGGCCACGATCAGGTACACGTTGACGTCCACCAGCGCGGACCCGGGGCCCGCGGAGCCCGCCAGCGCCCGCGACGCGGCCTGGGGCGCCTGGCCGCCGTCCACCAGCGA